TATTAGAAGAAAACGGTATTTTTACATCTCTAAAAACGATAAAAATTATATTTATATAATTTTATATTTTTTGAATGTGATAATGAGTAAAAGAAATGTCCTGATAAAATTTAAGGACGAGAGAATAGATATCTTCCAGACGTACCTTCACGCCCTTGCCCTCGATGGCGATGCACGATTGTATTTGCCAATCTCGATCCTTGATATTGTGTAAACCAAGTCCCTCCGCTATTTCGGCCGCCGTCACGGCGTGTCCCAGGTCTTGTTTATTCGCATATACTAATAAAGGTACTCCACGTAGCTTCTCTTCCAACAGAAGCTCTGATAATTCCTGTCCCGTTTCTTCTAGCCTCTTGATATCCGCACTATCAACGACGTAAATCTATTGCCAATAAGCGTTACGAAACTTTAATTTGCATTCGAGGAAGAAAGATACGTCTGAACAATTTTTAAGAAATCTAATGTATAAAGAAAAAGGCAGAGTTTATAGAGAAAAAAACAACGGGATAGACCGCTGTTTATTACGTAATTAACTATAATTTATATAAAATAGAAATAATTAAATATGTATCGTAACATCATTCGCAAAGTTTTGCATTATTCTACTGCTTGAATGTGGATAATCCTTGCGAATTAGTATGTAAGAAATTGTGAAAAAAACATCTCGTATTTATACAGATGCATGTTTTTAATAATTAAACAATATAATCATAAATTATTTTCAGAATCATTTTTCTAATTATTCGTAAATTCGTAGCGTTACTATTGCGCTATTTCTATAAAAACGATAATTATTATTATATCAAATATAAAATACGATATTATTATTTATATATGCATATGTATATCACAAAATAATTTGTATATACAAGGTGTTCAAAAAAGGTGATACCAAATTTTAACAGTATGTAGTACTCGTAAAAACAAATTGAAAAGTCTTAATAAACAATAACCATTTATTACCGAGTTATAAAGCATTTTTTGTTATTGTAGCATTGCCATTTGCTCTGCCATTTGCTCTTACACGAAATAAATGTCTGTAATTTCAAAATTTGTGTACAAATTAGGCATTTCTCAAACAACACAAAATCAGATACTGTCAACAATTTACCGTTTTAAAGCTGATCAAACTATGATAATCAATGCAATGATAATAGATGGTCATTCACCGACGTTCATGGATAAACTGATACATAATTGAAAACTGTCAACAAATA